AAATGTAAGATTTTTTTTTTTTTTTTAAAACTTAAATTCAAGATTTCAAAAAATAACCATACAATCTACTTAAAACAATTTTTTTCTCACACAAACCTCCTGAGGGGGGGGACTCCTTATTAAAATGGTTGGATCTACACAACATAAATTTTGGCAAATTTACCCACACACAACCACCACATTTACAAAAGGATATTTGCACATGGGGGAGGGGGAGCTATGTTACTGTTTACTAAGCACAGTTAAGAAAAATAGTAGTGATCTATTGCCCACTAAGTAACCTTTTAAAACAATTGAATTAAATTCCATAGCTTTTGTGATTCCCCCCCTGACTCAAGCATGTTCAGTTTGTCATTTTGCCAAGAAATTTAATGGTAGTTTCAAAAAAAACAAAAACTCATTAAAGATAAGATACAAATTGCCTCTTGTTTGTTTTGTTTTAATAATACACATTTAAAAAAAAAAATTATTGCTCAAATATACCATTTCACACACACACACATATATATATATATAAGCATACCAAATAAATAGTATGAAGGACCTTAGGGTTTTTAACAGTGCATGGTGTAATGGATAGTACCAGCTTGAAATCAGAACAGAGTTGGCATTCTAGTTGAGTTTCATTGTATTCACTTTTATGCAAAAGTACAAATCCCCCGGCTATGGTTTAAATAGAGTAGACTGGACTCTTCAGCCAACCAGTCTAGGTAAAGGAACTGTATGTAATACTAGTGAAACACTATATAACTAATAAAAGGATTGTGTGGTTAACAATGATTGATTCTGACTGTGGTTAGCTTCGATCAATTTAACATTGTGGTATCTTGTTTTATTTGAAGTAGAAAAAAAAAAAAACACTGAATTTAAGAAAATCAGTACAGAAAATCTAATCTTGCTTTCAGAATCTTAAGCCAAATTAAAAAAACAAAAACAAACTGAACATAAAAAGCTACCTTATGCACACATGGGAAGATGCTGGTCAAAGTTATGTAGAAAATATCTGATTTGACATTGCAAGCTTTTATAATCTTAACCTGTCTTCACCATTTTTGCAGCTAGATGACTTACTCTGCCAATCAATCAATCTTTCCCACCTAGGTCTGGTTTTGGCCTGAAGAGGTCTTGGGTAAATTTGGTTGAAATATTTTCAGGAACAAAGTGAGTTATGAGAAAAAAAGAAATGAAATGTTACTTTCAGGATAGACAACAAATAAACTGTACATTGTTGGTTGAGGGTTAAAATTACCAAATTAATCTTCTGGTTCTGTTGTTCAACTCACAACAGCCAGTGGATGTGTTCTTGGAGATATTTTTAGCATACTAATAAAATCCAAGTTGCCTAACTTGGATATCTAGCCTTTCCACGTGAACTTGTCAAAATGACCTCATTTCAATCTGTTAGTGAATGTAGATACACATACTTGTAAAATCCATATTAGTAATTAGACTTTTATATAAGATGACTGAAAAGTAATTTCCTATTTTATGCATGATGGACTCTCCCATCTAACTATAATTTTTACAAGATGGTTGAGTTCATCATATATAATAGGAAGTTACTTTTCAGTCACCCTACAGATTGGTTAAAATGCTTATTACACAAATTATTTGTTCATGCAAGCTCTGAGTGTCATATGGCTACAGCTGTTTTCTGTAGTTTTTTTTTTTTTTTTAATGAGTTTGAGTTGCCAAATTACGGTTCTGATCATCTCAGAACACAGCTGTTTGAGGTTTCCTATAGCCCCACTGAACTTAAATAAAGTCAATTCAGGTTTCCTATGGTAAAAATTTTCTATCCCAAGTAAAAATCATCACAAAAATGGCAAGTCATTTTGTCACAGCTTATTTTGTCTCAAAAAAATGGATTTTCATACTTTTATAGGGGTAAAATATTGAAAAATGACTTATCACCTAAACAAATATCCAGGAAACTTTTGATCTGAACCCCATGAAACTAGGTATTTTTTGAAAGCAAAGGATATATTCTTTCATTTAAAAGTAAAATTGGCTGGTGTAAATGACTCAATTTTTTTTTCTCAGGGGGTAAAATGTGAAAAAAAATAGTGAAAATTTTTCATTTTTTTCTAGTTCTAAACAATTTTTTTTTTTTCTTTTTTATAAAATCAGAAAGCCTAAATCATCATCAAACTATTTCAGGCATAAAATTGAAGGAAATCAACATTCCTAAGGGGTGAAAATGCGACAAAGTCCTTTGGTAATTTTTAATTGTATGACTGCCAGGGGTTTAAAAAAATTGACACCCGGCTGCAGAAATCTTTAGTAAAAGGCAAAATATTTATCTGCAATTCCTGATCACCAGAAACCAAAAGTTTTTGTTGGGGGGGGGGGGGGAAGCAAGCAGCAATAAGGAAAATTAAGCCAAATTGACTTTGACATCTCTGGGTTAAAGGTCAGCCAGCCAGCCAGCAATAAATATTTAGAACAAGTAATAAAACCCACCACTCCCAGATTAGAGCAAAGTGTGAAAAAAAAGGGGTCATCATTAGTAGGGCTTGATATAACCTATGTTTAAACAATGGCTTGATATATTTTGTTTTGTTTTTAACACCCTGTGACCCGGGTGATGACAACATTTAGCAGACAACATCGTTTTTTTTTTTTTTTATTGCATATCTTTCGTATTTCCCATCAACAGGCCATTTAGCCATTCCTTTTATTCAATGATGTTCATGTCAAATGAATGATTATTTATTTTGAAGCAAAAATAAACATTTTTCTATTATGAATAAAAGGGGGAGGGATTTTCCTCAGAAAATTGGGCATAATTTCTTAATGTTAACGGCTGAGTTATATTTTTCACAGCCAAATCGAAGATTAATTAACAGTGAATAATTCCATGTGCAAATAATAGCTGTCTGGATCCTATAACGTCGACCTAAAAGGTCCAGAAGTTTACCGATTGATCAAAAACTTGTTGCGCATAATTGTTTTTCACAGTCAGTTTCCATTATTTCATCTTGATGTCATTTTTGGGCAGCCAAGTCATCAAGGTTTCAGGAAAACAGTTTGGCATAGGTTTGCTTTAAGAACTTTACATTCTATGAGGTGTTTAAAATGTTACTGAGATTTTTCGCTGAATATTTCATTTATGTGCCATGTTGGATTTTCCTATATGCCAAAAACAAGCCTTTTAAACAGCCATGAGAAGCATCCTGCTTTATAATGACAATCCTTGTGGGTAGCACAAAAAAAAAAAAAAAAAAAAAAAAAACACCATTTACAGATTGTGAAAAAAGTAAAGTTTTAAAATAATCTCAGCCACTATTGATGTATTTATTGCTAGCAGCTGCACACTGAATAATGTAACCATGCTGCTTCCTATCTAGTACCAGGAGGAATACTTGAACGACCCAACAATTTTCATTATTAACTTCATATTGAGACACTAGTATTATAAATCAATAAATGTTCAATTGACCAATTTCAAAAGTTTTACATCAAAACGCAGAATAAGATGTTCAATAACTCTTGAAATTATTACCAGATCTCATTTATACTCTTTGGTTTGTTCTAATCTATTTCAATAAATTTATTGAAACTCTGGTTTGAATTGGGGTTGCGACGTGAAACTAAAAATTGTTCAACATTTACTGATTGTCTGAATATCATAGCTATCTATTGAGCACTTTTTATTGTTAGAACTTCCGATGGCATGAAAAATACATTCTCATAATGTTAACATTTTTACTTGTATTATTAAGACAGTTACTAGGATAGCAGACATCCATACTATTCATTTTGAAAGATTTTAATTAATATCTTATACTTGCTACAATCATTATTTAACCTTGTTGCCTCTTTCAAAATGTTAATAGTGTTTATAAAAATCTTTGAGATCACGCATGTTGCGAAGTTAAATTGTATCTCCCGTACTTCCAAATGCATATCAATTCCTAAATAAGTCATGATATAAGCTGAGGTAACCAAACTGGTTTAATGTAAGAGTGACATACAATAAAGTTCAGATGTTTGAGAGCTTCAAGATTTGAACAAAATTTACACATACATTTTTATCCAATGGGGTCTCAATTCATACCCATTAAATAATTATAAAGCTTGACATTTTTCTTTTTATATTAACTGATGAAAAAGAGGAGCTCAGTTAACATATTTCCATGAGCTGCAGCTTGGCCAACTGATATAAAACAATTCCTAAATAATGAACGAGTGAGGATATAAAGCAAATAAACAAAAGGTTCTGTTTTATTAAAATATCAAAATTAATATTTTATTAATGTTATTTACAAACATGCCATGCAATTTCCACTTACTCAGCTTGTATATTACGCATTGTAATTAAATATGAAACAATTAAGAAAAACACGTCAAAGTTATGTTTTCTTATTTAATCCATATCTTCAGTTCATACCATATTATATAAAAGATTTCTTGTCCACATCAAAATTGTATTTACTTTCCTTGATGTCTTATTCTATTTTGCAATTCTTTTGAACTTGTTCTTTTAAACACAAAAACCAAGAAAGAATATGAAAATGGTAAATATGTTTCCAAAAGTAACAGAACTGCTAACTTCAAATTTTATTGTCAGTTATTGAATACAATTATCCATGATGATGTCTTTAATGACAAAAAAACATTTCTTTATCAAAACAAAATTTCTGAGTTTCAAAACTTAAAATTCTAAATAGTCTTGGGAATTTAAAAGCATTCATTTTTTTTTTTCTTTTGTAATAATTCACTCCCAAAGTTTAATTTACATGTTTTTTTCTGTCTGCCATCTTATATTTCTTCAAGATTTTGCAACAGTTATATTTAAGTGGCATGTCTAACTTTTTACGCACAAGTTGGGAACACTTTTTTTTTGTATGAGCAAATTGGCTTATCTAACTTGATATTGGCTAGAGAAAAATAAGAAATATTCATAAAATTAAATGAACACACGTGCATATTACTCTAATGATGACAGACAGATGTTCCCAGTTCTATTTCTTTTTGGATATTACATTTGGAATCTGTCATCTGTATCCATCATCTATTGTTGTAGGTTCCATAAAAGGTTTCTGGGTCATGACTACAGGAACCGGAAGCAATTTTCCTCCACAGGCATTTCTCTCATCAGTAAATGGTGCCGCTTCTTCATACAGGTTTTCTTCTTGGTTAGTTATCCTAACAGAATCATAAATATATGGTTTAAAGGTTTTCTGTCTTTCTTGTAAAGGAGTCTCGATTATATTAAAGTCCAGTCGGTCATAATCTTCCTCTGCTGATTGGTTTGGTACATTCGGAGACCTAAGGGGTTGGTTGTGGTGGTGGTTGTTGTTGTTGTTTACCTCCAGTGAAGAATATACATTACTGTCCTCGTTAGGGTTAGTGGAAAGATTAGTCATTTTTCCAGACATCACTTCTATATCGCTGTACAAATTAGGATGCTTAAACATGGGTGGTAGTTTTACCTGTGACACATCTGGACTTGGCAGTGAGCTAATGTTCACATTGGAATATGTATCAGAATGTGAAGAGAGTTTGTGTTGCAGTTCTGATTGATAAGGAAGGACTTTTTTAACCCGCAGATTATTGTTCATTTGGTGACTATGATTGATTTCTGCTGGGGGATTAGAAAATGTGTTTTTGAATTCAGGTTTTGCAGTGCCTCGAGGTAGAGGGCTGTTGTCAGCTGCAAGTTCATTTTGACTTGCTTTTAACTGAAGTGTAAGCTGGTTTACTCTTTGAAAGATTTCAAGGCTTTCACCTGGTTTAGTGGCAAAACAAAAGCTTCCTTCTCCAGATTCACATTTACGGCCAGCCTGAATTGTAAATGTATTTTGACTTTTGCCAAAGCGTCGAATAAAATGATATGGCCACTGATAGAGAACTCTTCGCTCTTTAACAGTGAGGAGAAAAAAGCCTTGCTTTGTCAGTTGCAGACGATACGGCCCAAACAGTTGACAGCGTAAAGAAGCGTCTGTATCGGTCATCTCAACATCATATGTCCACACTAAAAGAAAGATAAAAAAAGAATTAAAAGATAAACCGGTTTTTAATTAACATTTTAGTATTTGTAATTTATTTTGATAATATCCAACATGATTCAGACTGATCACAAAAAGTATTTTGCTGAAAGTTTCTAAGCATTTGCTAATTGCAAGTGATTGAAAAATCAACCCTAAACTTGAGTAAAGAATCTAGTGACAGATTTTCTAGGCACTCTAAGAAAAATTAGCATATTTAAAAAGTTTTTCAAAATTTATGTAGGAAAGAGGTAAGCTACAATTGCTGGAAATTTGGGGGTTGATACTAGGTCATGATTATAAAAAAAATTGGAAAATTCAAACAAAGTTATTCAAGATTAAAATAATTTGAGAAAATGTGTAATGTCCAGAACAATCATGTTTAATTTATTGTTCTATAGTTCATAGATATTTTTATAAAATTACAACAAAAAAAAAAATAAAAAATTTCATAGTTATTTATAAAATGATAATAAATATTGCATTGTACTTTATTTACATAATTGAAAATATTGTAGATTTTTAAAAATTTAATTAAACTTTCTTTTCAAATTCCACTATTTTTAAAATAAATTTTTATAAAATAATAAACATCATATTGTACTTTATTTACAAAATTATAAAAAATATGTGAACAAACATTGCGGAGGGAGTCACACTAGTACGCAGTAATAGCGTATCAACAAAAAAAAATTGTCCGTTTGAAACCATTTTTGTTTTTTGGCAGCATGAAGGTTAAACTTTACCCAAAATAGAATATGGTAATATACACAGCAGCAAAATATGTAGTCTTCCAGTAAGAAACAATCAACTGACTTTATACAAGAATGTATTTCATAAAATACATCTGTTGGATGCTTTGGCACACATCAGTGATATTTCTAGCCAAGGAAGTTCATTAGGGTTTTTTGGGTATTTCAACATCATACACCTCTCTCTGCAGTAACTCAGCTAATACCAATAAGGTATAGACTTGTGTGCCATCTGTCAGTTAAAATTTTCTCTTTTTTTTTTTTTTTTTTTTTTTTTTTTTTAAATTACACAAGGTGACTTCTCTTAGCAATTTATAGTCCATTCATGCCTTGAATGAAGATAACACAATCAAGAAGTAGTATGTGCTTTGAGTCTATGTAGTCTTGTTGAAATAAAGATTTAGCTTATTTGCCTCCTACCTAACTCCTTGACTTGTACAATAAATACCAGAGTAAACAAATGCATCATGTGGGCAAAATTGAGACAGGGAGAGACTGATCTTCATTTGTCTTATCATTAACTTAGCTTGCCTTAATTACTGACCCAACTGTTTGTACATTGTTCCTTTCACTAAAACATTTCATCCACACAACACTGGCATACAGAGACACTAAAACACCACATTTACTCAAATCCCATATGTACAATGTTTGTGGAGAGTTGGGATGAATCTAAACAATATAAAACCCCAATGTTCATGATGTAAAAAAAAATTTATATATATATATATATATATATATATATCTCAAAACAACCAAACAAAATTAGTCTTAGTTATGGCATTCCCATAGTCTAATCATGGCAGACATTAGAACGAAAAATACTGTAGGATTAAATAACTTGAAAACGAATACAACCTACAGTTTACCAGAGAACTGCGATCCCTGTCACCTAAATGGGGAAGGGGAGGGTAAATAAAACCAAAGATAAAATGGAGGCAAAAATAAAGGGGTTAATGGCCATTCACGTCCAACTTGAGTTAAATTCAGCAGCTTGAAGCAAAAAGAAAAATGACTTAAACTAACCTAACACTGGACTGGGCTGACAAAAGTTTAAATCAGGCGACCAATATCCTCATCCTTAGGTCATTTCTAAGTGCCATTCTAAATTAGCCCCCCCCCCCAAGCAAAACCTTCAACCACTTTTCACCAAATTTTACAGAAGTGTTGCCTCCTTTCCACCCTAATTTTGACTAAGCTGGTGCTTAAAGAACAAAATCAGTTGATAAGAGAGAAACTTCTCTTCCTCCCCACATAAAACATCTATTGCATTGTCCAAATCATGACTCATGATGCCAAGCAAACACAAGAACAGTGTTCATTTGTTTTCAGCTGTGGCAAAACACTCCCATAGATGGAACTAACCTTGATGACAAAAATCCTTACACCCAGGATGCAAACAATGTAACCTTCAATCAGTTTACACAATGCAACAGTGAAAGATGTGCCCCAGGGACTCAACTGCCCCACCACAATGTATACACTTTGGCATAGCTACCAGCCCCACTGTACAGAGCATTTTGACAACCCAGAGTGCCTTCTGCAACACCAACCAGGTGAATGATGACTCATCATTGTTGAGACATCGCCACCTGGATGCCCATCGGCACAGAGAGCAAAACTCCTCACTTGTAAAACCAAACTCATCCCTTAATATAGATGGCCCAATACTCTAACATACAATATAATGCCTTAAGAGACAACAGTCAGGTGTCGGAGAGGCTTTCCTTAACCCATGTGAAGTCCTTCAGAGCAAGTCGACACTTGTGATAGAAGCACTCGGCTCAAGTACAGTAGGCCTCATCCTCGCCATCATGTACACTTCTCAAAGACGGGAGTGCTTTCTTAGTGTCTTCCTTCCAGAAGAGGACATTACCCTCATCTTGTGTACATATTCAATCCAGAAACTTGAGCCGCAACATCTCGACAAATCTCAAGATCAGGTATTCCTAGACTGTCCTCAGACAGGTGGAGTCAACGGACCAACTGATGTACATTAGGAGCACTGCCAGCCCCACAAAAGAGGTGAGACAGGACAAACCAATAAAATTAGCTCAGTGCATGAGAGTGGAAGTACCGAGAGCCAGTAAAGAAGGATGGAGTAGATGTGTGAGGCACAAACTTCCACCCTCCCCTTTAAGAAAGGCCTCCTCCAAGACTAACTACAGCCTCTGCCTTTTCTCTGACTGCCAACCAATTCTTCTCCAACTGGAGGTGAAACAAGTCACAGTGTATCTTGAGAGGCCTTTCTGTCCATATGAAGGGCTTGAGAAAAGAAACTCCCTTCTGCAAACCAACAAACTTGTGGTTGATTTTGGCTCTTGTTACCATCTCATACCTGCTGACTTTGTCAATCTCGGCTTTGCCTTTCACAGACACGTCAGAATACCTGGCCAGAGTGTTTGCACCAGGAAGAGTAATTCTATGTAAAACAGAATTTGCCTTTAACTTGTGAAGGAAGGGCTCCAATACAAGAACATAAAACATTGTTTAATCCTTCTATTGATGATTTTTGGCATCCATATTTATGTATTTCGATGAGATAAAGTCCTCTTCTAGGAAGGTGTGCCATCTCTACCCCCCCCCCCTTATTTTTGTTAGATATGCACTTTCCTTAGTCAACATGGCATGGGTCCACTTCCAGCATTACAATCGGATTACATTTTCACTTATCCCGACATTGTATTGTACTTTCAGTTGTAAGAATAGGTACTTCAAAAGTATCGTAAACTATGTCCATTGGTTCATTAAATTGTACTCGTTGCTTATTCTATGCATGTCTCAACCTCAGTTGATTAATATATCTCTTGTCATCCACTTTTGACAATGTACATCATACTACCAAGCTCTGCTGAATATTTTTTCATTTCTGCCAGTTTTCTTTTCTGGCCTTAAAGCTTTTAAAGAAAATCTTATCATTGATCTTAAATGATATGTTAGGATGAAATATCAAAACTTTCTTATTCCCTGGCAGTAATTTGTCAAAAATGGATCTAACTTTTCTAGCAAACACAAGCTCTGCAGGTGACATTTTTGCAGTGACGTTTGCATTTGATGTCATTTGATACACACTCAAAAAATTTTTGTAATGCCATTTTTTCAGATTCCCAGCCTTTAGCTTTTGTTAATGCACTTTTGAAGGTGTCAACAAATCATTCCACTTGAGCATTCGACCTTGGATAATAAATAGACAGTCAAATGTTCAATTGCATAGCTTTTGCAGAAATTCTTAATGTTTTTCTAAAGCTTTTTGACATTCTGTCAACCATTTCCATTTTGTAACCCTTTTAGGTAAATTATTCAGAAGTGCTCACAATTTATACATCCCTAGCACAGAAATATTATAATTCACTAATCAAAGAAATGACTGTAGAGTTACCAAATTTGTTATGAGAAGGCATGTCTTTAATGGCACTTGCTCCCACAGGATCTGGTCTTCTTCCTGTTTTTGCTAATTATCTGACCTAAATATTTAATCTTGTCCAGAAAGAATGACATTTCTGTTCACTGATTTTCAACTCATAATCATTTAGTCCCTGAAATATGTCCTGAATCAGTTTTACATGCTGTATTTTCATAGCACTCTTAAGTATCTATGTAAGCAACAACACCATCTAGTCCAGCAAACATCATTATCCATTATTTGCTGGAGAAAAGGTAATCCTTTAAACTTGTAGAGTCGTTTATACATATTAATAATCAAAAACTTCTGACATTCTTCATCCACTTCCGATTGAAGATATGCCTCAGACAGGTCAATTTAAAAAAAAAAAAAAAAAATTACCACCATTTAATTTGGCAAATATATCCTCTGGAGTCAAGTAAGGATATGCATGTGGTAAGAGGCAGTCATTCAACCCAGTTTAAAAATCTGAACATAACCAAATCTTATTATTTTTCTTTCTAATATAAACAACTGGTGTGACTCATTCTGAGTAATCTATTTTTTTCAATAACTCTGCAGTTTTCTAACCTGTTTTGTTTGATATTATTAGACTAACACAGCAAAAAGTTTATTTCTTTTAGGTTTAAACATTGATATCACATTTTGTTTTAATTTAAAATGTACCTCTGTACAACTCCTCTGAGAAAATAGTTATGAATTTATTTTTCAGTTTAATCAGTGTTTCTTTAGCTGTAATCTTTTTCTCTGATGAACAATCAATTTTTCCATAGAAAGAATTAATCAGCCAATTCCATGGTTCAAATAATTCTAGCTAATCAACACCTCGTAA